TTGAAGATCCTCACTTGAAGAAAGGAAAAAATTTAGGTACCGGCAGACATTTTTGTCCTGTATAATGTTATTTGCTCGGTATGTTATTGTGTGGTCCTTTTGAATATAGATATCCACTGTATGGTTCCATAAGCATCATATCTCCCAATTTGGTTCACTATAAAGGTAATAGTTAGAACTTGGACATTAAATAAATTGAATTGACTAATACATAGAATTGGACCAAGTTGATTATGAGCAAACAATTAATTGTACATAATGAATGATCTGTAAAAATGAATGGTAGCATAGTCTATTGGTTAGAATTAGATTGTTAATTATCCAATTTTTGAACCACTTGTTGCTTGGAATGTCAATAATTCAAGGCCATCTTTTTACTAGTTAAATGCAGGTGGTTCAAAAGTTTGTCCCTTTTTCTAGCTGCTCCCTATTATCAATGCAGTAACTACTAAAACCAGACCAATAAATAAGGGAAACTTTCAGTAGACCTAACTTCATTTTACCATTAGTGGATAAATTTCGATGCACTTCTTCATATCTACCTCCTTTTAGAAAGAAATTATTAATTTATACAACTTGCAAAACTTCAATTGCAACTCTTTCATGAGAACATTGTATATTATAATTTGGTATTCTTCATTGTGCATTCTGGAACCTTGATCTTGATGTTGACTGGAAGTATACTAAAGGAGAGAGTAGCAACAGAGCTCAACCCAGTCATTAGGACTGTTTAATGTTTAACACTCTTGCATAAGTGATGACTGACAAGACATTCTAAGTTAAGATTATTACAACATTACATACCCATTTGAGAGAATTTTATCAACTGTGGCGTTTTGTTCTCTCCTCTCTCTTGCTAATGTTGTGTTCTGAAGTACATTTTTTCTGTTAGGAGTTAAATTATTTTTTTATTAAAATGAAAGTTATGTAAAGTTGGTTTGGTAATGCAGGGAGATGCAAATTTTGGGCAAACTACAACAAATACAGGTATTGGAGAGTCCGAGTCCAATGAAATTCATCGTTTTGAACTTCTAAGGAATGAGCTTATGGAACTCGAAAAACGAGTCCGGAGAAGCACTGATCAATATGAAACTGAAGAGGTATGTCTCATGCTTTTTAACAGCTCCTATATAACATTTGAATGTTATAATAGTTTTTTCCTCCATGTAATACATGTCAGTACATATTCCTGAACAATTGTGAAAGCATGGAAAAATCTGATATGAATGTGGGAAACAAATTTTGAAACATTGTAAACTGGTTCTGGACCCACTAAATTGAGTAAGGACTTTTATGAAGTCTGCTCGTGGAGCAGCCTTTTAGGATTATGAACACTTGACAGTAATATCACTGTCAGAATTAATGAACAATAAGAAGATGATAGCAATGGCAGGTAAGGGAAGGGAATTACACAGATTGTAGGTAAAGAATGTAGAAGGAAGAGTGAGAGAGATAGAGGGTGTGTTCTGAAGATTAAGGAATTTGTTATATCATTCTCATTTCATGTCCTCTGCTAGCAACAAAATTCTACTATATATAACAGTTTCTTCTTTCTTATGATTATAAGCACGTGGCTTTTACACTTAAGTATTAAACGCATAGTATTGATTATAACTGAAATATCAAAACGCACCGTTTGACTTAATGGTATTTTAAATTCCCTCTTCTCGGATTGTTTATTCCATTTCTATGTGTAACAGCTCGCTTGGCTTAATTTTCACCTTCATGGTTGCAAGCCCATAATTTTTATTTTGCTCGGTTTAATTACACTTTAGATATATATGAGGTGTCGATTTTTGACAGATATATTTTGGTAATTAGATCTTTGTGATTTGGACCATTAAGCAGTAGAGGTCTCTTCATCTATCCGTAACCCACTTTATTATTGATTTTGAGTTTTAAATGGAAGATGAGATGCATGTTAGGTTTTTATTGGTTTAAATTTTAGAAATAAGAAAATTAAAAATTTGGAAAAAAAATATTTTGTTAAAAATTTGGCCAACTCTTAATTTATTTATGGGTAGATTTTTTTTGAATTTTTTTAAGTTAGATTTTTTTTCTTGATTTATTTTAAAAGGACAAAAAAATGATTAAATGTTTTTTTGCTAATATTTTATTAATTTATGCTAGATTTTTTTTTTTGTTTTTTTTTGTGATTTTTAATCTTTTAGTTAACTGTTTATTTATCTACCATAAAAAGATACTCTTTTTTTTTTTTAAAAAAAAATGTGTTAGTTTATTTTTTTATTTCATCAATGAAGGTAAAATTAGGGATCTATTGATAAAACATACTCAATTAAATTTATGTATTTTTTTTATATACATAATCTTTCTATTTAATTTTTCATAAAAGTTTTGATCTAGAGGTTTGAGATTTTATCATTTTTACATAAAATTTACTTTTTTCCTAACTTCTTTATTTTCCTTTTGAAAATAAAATAAGGAATTAGCTTGAAAAATAAAAAAAATGAAAACAGTCCAAAATAAATTAATAAAAAATTAGCAAAACCATTTTTATTTTTTTTATTTGAAAATAATAGAAAAATTATTTCTAGCAATAAATAAATAAAAAGTTAGTAAAGTTTTTAATCAATTTGTTTTTCAATTAGGACTAATAGAAAGTTGACATATCTACTAATCCCTTTAAAAGTAAAAATTAACAAAAAATTGAATTGACAATGGATGGAGGGATCTCTGCTGCGGAGTGGACCAAACCATAAAGATGCAATTGCCTAAATTGAAATTAAAAAAATGTCTAACAATACTGCTCCAAGCAATGACCCTGGAGACCTTTTTTCTAACAGAGAACATAATTTGCCATCTAGATTACTTAGAAATTATTGCCTTTTTTCTCTAATTTATATAATATCAACTAGTTTTATTTACAGTGACCACTGCCATCTATGTATTCTTTACTTTAATTTTATGCTATGCTATATAATTGGGTAAACTTTGTTTTATTTTCAGGATATTAAGGTTACAGTTGATGATGAGGCTGCAAGTTCTCAATTAATCCAGGTTGAAATGAATGAAAATATCATTGAAAAATCACTTGTAAAGCTAAAGGAAACAAGCACGGTATGGCTAGCCCTTTTCATTATTTAGTAATTAATACAGTATTACATATCTTTCAAGCTCAACATCATTGAGTAGATAAGACTACCTAACGATCTGTGCTATGATGGTGTTGTGTTTTTCCTATGAATTGAATTTTTCTGTTCTTTGCACCTGGCATTTTGTGATTAAAATTATTTGGTTGGATTGATGACAGTGGCCATTCAATTGGTTCAGTCAAAGCTAAATGGGTAAAGTACAAGTCCAAGTCTTTCCAAGGCCCAAATATATTAATTGAAATAAATACATTGTTTCTGCATGAACATGAACATCTATTTGTACCTGTATTGGTTTTTGTGCAGTAATGCTAGTCATGGTGAAACAGATGCAAAATTATGTTTTCATTTCTTTGAATTGTTGAGAAGAAAAAAAGAACTGAAGGATTTGAAACTCCCTCCCAGTTAAATCTTTAGTATACATTCTGTGACTACGATATGATTTATGGCATTTTAGGTTTTCAATTTTATAACTCAGCTCCTAGACTGTTTATTTGTCATTCGTAACATATATGGTTAAATATGCACAGGATGTCTTGCAAGGAACTCAGCTTCTAGGTATTGATGTTGCTGCTGCAATGGGTTTTCTTAAAAGGGTCTTGATTGGAGATGAGTTAACAGAGAAAGAAAAAAAGGTTCTCTTGAGAACCCTGACGGACTTGGCATCAGTGGTTCCTATTGGTGTTCTTATGCTTCTTCCAGTAAGTCTCATCATAAAGTTATCCTCATCAACAGTGTATTATTTTAGTTGTCTCATTTACATCCTCTCATTAATCTTCAAATACACACATTTCTTAAGTGTCATTACTTCTCATTCATTCATCAGGCCAGCGTAGTTTTTCACTTCTTCTGTTGCAGTGCAGTTTGTTCTGGTAAATGAAACATTGCTTTAGGACAATACAGTTATTTAGAAATACATGACCCTGGTGTTTTTTTGAAGGTTTATGGATATAGGGAACTTGAATTTGTTTCCATTACAGTTGGATTATTTCTGCGGCACAGCTTTGTGGATCACCCTTTTTTATTGTCATTCTATTTGATAAATCCACTTGTCAACCTTCATATATTTAGCAAGTATAGAACCCGACCAAGCTTCTGTATGGTATATATTGATATCGCAATATGTCAAAAATTGTTACTTCTGGTGCAAGTTAGAAAAAGGGTTAGATGCCTAAAAATTTCCAAGCATACAAGGGCTTGGCTAACTGCAAGTGCACCACTAACTGACCTGCAAGTTGGCCAGGCTCACTTCATGTTCATAATCTGACTTGTCATTGGATGTGGGATGATTCTGTGGTTATTTTGATTGCAACTGATTGAAACCGCACCTCCACCACAGCAAAGATATTTTGAAATTTTTTGAGTGCCAGGATTATAGGTGTTAATGATACATGATCCTCAGAATTGGGCTTCTTATACATATGGTCAACTGAATTGGATATTCACAAGAACTTAAATTCAAATCTGTGATATATTGCATGTTCACAATTTCCATCTGTCTGCACTGTTTTTTCCACTGTGACCTGATGTAGAAAGGGTAATTTGTGCATTGTAGGTCACTGCTGTGGGACATGCAGCAATGTTGGCTGCTATCCAGAGATATGTGCCAGCTTTGGTGCGTTGTTTCTGAGCTAATAACTTCCCTTTTTATGCTCTTCTTTAGATGTCAAATCTCCGATTACCAGGGTCTTGTATCTTGTTCATTGGCAGATACCATCCACATATGGAGCAGAAAGGTTGGATCTCCTGAGACAGCTTGAGAAAGTGAAGGAAATGGAAACCAGTGAACCGGATGCCAAAGAAAATGGAGAGATACTATCCTGATCACAAGCAGCACAGATTATGTACAGCCCAGGCAGTGAAAAACAGCTTCAAGATGAGGTAGCTTGGAAATTATGTAATCTGATATCACTTGGTTCTGAATCCCATTGACAGTAAATTAGCATATAGAATTTCATTCCATATGTCTGGTATTCCAGGTAGACACCAATGACTGCAGTCCTGTGGAGCGTCAACTGGAGTGCCTGGCTCACGATGACGAGAAGGGTGACCATCATACTTGAACAGTGTCAAATGCGTAATGTTTAAGAACTGAACCTTCCTGTCTCCATAATCCATCTCTTTGATTACAGTAGAAATGATTTGGTTATGCACTGGCTCTGGTTCCAGCATTGTGTAGTTTGTCTCTGGTTGTCTGTCCATATCACATTGAGACCCGCCTAATCCCATGTACCATTCCTGCATTTTTTTCATATAAAAAAATTGTAACGACATGTTACCCGATGTGTACAGTTCCCAGCCGGAAGTGCACCACCTGTAATGTACTGGAGAGTAGCCACGGAAGAAAACACGAGTCCTTTCAGGGTTTAAATTTTCAATCCGTAACTTCGATGTTTGTAGAGATTTTTAAAATGCCTCCATCACATTCAACGACATGGTCACTTACCTTTGTCTTCAAAATAGGAACCCCTGCATACATACACCAAATAGTCAATTTATTCCATTCAGCTTAAATTTATTGTCAGCATTAAATACAGAGACTGCAAGATTGGAGAGAAAATGTCATACATCTTGACAGTTTTATCGTTCAATTCACCAATGCCCGGTGTTGAACACCAGAACATCAGCCCCTTCGCATTTTTTGGAGAACCAGTGTAAGTGGTCGGGCTTAGCTGATGAGTAGCCAGGAAAGGTGCCCTGTAATATTCAATTTTGAGATTGTACCAGGAAAGGTGCCCTTGTGTGTTTAGTCATGGGGTTTCCGCATTCTTCATGTATTGAAGACTTGTTGGAAACTCCTGGAGCAAGCATGCACAAGGAAGGCTCCCACTGGTTTCTGCCAACAGGGTCCCCAGCAAACACGATCCTCCCATTTCTGCTTCTTTCTAGAAGTTCACTTGCATTAAATCTGAGAAGAAACGAAAGGGATTCATATGAGGAAATCTCATGTAGAAGCTACAAATTGTCTTCATGTGCATTTGGAACTGTATAAGCCTTGCAGTGATTATTTCATATATAGTGGAGCTAATTAATTCCAAAAATATTTTATAGATAAATTTATTTTATGTTTTTCTCTTTGTTTTCTCAACTAATTAATATATTTTATTTTTGTCTGGAGGAAAATGATTTATAAACAAATTCTTGATAGTGAAATTTCATACAAATTGACGTGTGAATTGATGAACAAGGAAGCATGAATTTCATGAATAATAACTGATCCATCTTTATAAAAATCAGTATATTATTACCTGCGGGGGCTCTCGATCTGAACATGTGCGATGTAAATTGATGGGGTGCCATGAAAACACGAAATGCATGGAAAATGATCCTACTTAACTGTTGTAGGGACAACTGCAGTGATGCTGATAGAGATTGTCTCATGCACTTCACGTACAATGAAAAGGGCCAAAAAGCTTCTGTTTCTCCTAAAACAGTGATCCGCGTAAACTGGTCTAATTAACAAAAAAAGAAAAGAAAACACCTGAAAGCCTAAGTAAATATTATAGTATTCTCTTATTATCCCTGATGATCAATTACGGTGTTCAATGAATTTTAGCAATCCAATATTGGTAGAGTGTTTACTTTCGTGGAGAATTCAAAAATCCAACATTCAAGGAAGCATCTAATGTTTGCAGGCATCTTGAAAGTATAAAGATGAGCTTCCATACCTTGGCAAACCACACCCTTCTGGCTGCCATCGCCAATTATGATACTTTCTTCCATTTCGAAACACATCGAAAGCCAAGATCAAGAAAGGGAAAGCTTTCTGTGTGGGATTGATTCTTGTTACTTTCATCCCGAACCCGTCTTCCTTGAGAATAATCACAGGCTAAGCGTGATGATTTTTTATTGCTGGATAGGATTTGTGACAAGAAACCAAAACGAAAGACTGACAGTGGATCAAAAGGGCCGAAAAGATCAAAGACAATATTGAGAAAAGAGGTTGCACACACAAGTTCTCTCTTGATTATGAGAGGAGAGTAAAGAAGTTGCTGTTTTGTTTTCTCGTGGGCTGTTGATGATGATCCATAAGAGACGGAATAACAAGTGTTTTTTCTTTATTATTTAAATTAGAGAGAGAAAGAAGGGATATATTATTGCAGTTGTTAATTAATTGGTAACGAAGGTAGGAGAATTAGGGTTCATGCGATGGTGGATTTGCACCCATCCTTTTTTAGGAATCTATTTATCTGAGATCTTGAGGGATTAGAGAAGGGCATCCCATCTTTACCACCGTTACCACGATCATTGCAGGTCTTAGCCTAGTCTTTTCTTTCTCTCTCACACGCTCTTTTATATCTAATAATAATCGTAATTACAAAAAAAGGGGATCCCTCTCTCTTTTTATTTTTTTTAATAATAAATAATGATAATGTATTCTGTTATTACTGACTCGTGTCGTGTAATCACCATATTAATTATCGAAATAAAACCAATGTATTTCTGCCTTTAGAATTATGTGAGGTGCCTTTTGGGGAGCTGGATTTGTGAGCTTTCAGTGCAGGCATTGAATCCAATGAGATATTGTTGAATATGAACTTGCAGACTGTTTAGTAGGGGTGGGTCTGAGATACAGATGATGCAACCCAGGAAGCTATAGCCATATGCATCTCTGGTACTCGGTGGTTTTTTGGCTTGTGACCTTTGCTATTTGGATCCTCTGCCATAAAAAAATCTTTCTTCTGTGATGTTGATCTCTGATTTTTCTAGCATTGCGCACACCATTAAACAAGCTGATACTATCTTACTTGGTTTTGCTAAAGACAATGATCTAAAGACTAATCCTCCCTTGTGTAGTATTGAGTTTTTAACATTTCTATTCCTTATAGTCATTCCATTGTAGTTATGATTGTTTTCTTAATATGAACTGAGTGAGGTCCTTTTTATCCCTCTACATGTTTTCATTCTTTTCTGAACCTCCTATTTGTTGCAATATATTGTGACTTTGTCTAATAGTCTTATTTTTTACTTAATGCAAATGAAATTAACAGCGGTGGGTGCAAGGGGAGGTATGGGGACTCTATGGCCTGCTTTACAACTGGTTTACATGACAAGAGCTTCTGCATATAGAGATGCTCTTAAAAGTTTTATACTAGGAAATCAGGAATTAAGGTGTGCAGCAGGTCATGGAAATGAAAGAAGAATCTAATACTTAAACGAGGGCAATGCTCCCAAGAAATCTACTCTAGCCATTATTCCAGCGTGGTGATTCAAGTTTTTCTCCTGAGCATCAACCATGGACAAAACCCGTAGAGCTTTGCTACAACTTAACTTTTGAAAAAAAGTTACTATTCTTGCGAAAAGAGTGTAAGAAAAGTTTCTAGCATGCTCTATCCCATTTAAGGGTTCTGTTTGTACATCAAGACTATGAATAAATTGAATCTTTTGTATTTGTACCATATGGAGACGGACATACCATAGACAATGCCGACTGCATTATCAAGTTGATTTGGCTTTATTACATTGTATGGTTTTAGCATTCTTGATGGTTAACCTTGTAAATTTTGTAGTCATTTCTTGCATCTGATTTTTTATGGATGACCAGAAGAACCACGATTTGTGAATACAAAAGCATGTAGTGTGGAAGGTTGTGACTCTTTTCTTTCTTTTTCTTTCTGGGACAATGGGCATATTACCAGCTATTCCATCCTGGTATCTGCCCATCCATACAATTGATTATATATGGGGAATATCCTTGCAGCAGTTTTCTTTTCTAACAGTCTTTCTAGCATTGTTGCTGCTGTCATTTTGCAGCTTTTGTTGGTACCAGCACTGTGTAGTATGGTTCAGCAAACAACCTGGTCGAATATTTTGGTTCTACTCATTTGAAATGGAATTGAGGATTATTCCTAGCAAGAAATATATAGGCGAATTGATGTTCGGTTTGCCGACAAGTCAAGTTTATGCAAAGCTTGGTCTTTTGAGGTCTAAATCTCAACATTTTGACCTAAAAATGGTAATTTCTCGATAAAAGGGATACAAACAACAAGATCCTGGAATCACACACTTAATGTAAACTTAGCATGGTGCTTCTCTCATCTCTTTTGAAAGGGAAGCAATGTAAGGTATACTTTTGTACCATCTGCCTTTTTAATTTTCCTCCCTTTTCAGTACTCCTTTTTTGCCCCCTAATTTTTCTGCTACTTTCTCAGCTAACAGGCTGAGGATCATGGGAGTGCAGAAGCATTCAAGAAGCTACTATTGAATGTAAAGAAAAGGTGGCAATTCTTGCTCTTGCTTGTCTTATGTAGGCTATTATTTGAGAACATGCATTCAATCAGTATGCACCATCATAGAATGATTAAAATTTTGCGGTGCCTCTTGTCAATATGCTTTTAATTATCAGGTACAGTTAGGATCATTCCTTGTCATACAATAGGTTAGGTTTCTTTCGGCAGACTTTCAAGTCAAATCATCTCAGACTGATCCAAGTTATGGCATGGTATCCTTTTTAGCGTTTGGAGAATTTGGTGGTGGCAGAATATTTGGCTCATATGGCACAAGTGTGAAAACATTTAGTGCAATATATAGGCAGAAAATGAGAAAAGGACGATTACGCATGATTTGCATAATGTGGAACTAAATAGACTTAAAGGCTCCAGGATAGGAACTTGGCTCTTGCTACTGGCCAGTAACCCTACTTTTATTGAATTGGAAAGTTATATTGGGGCTCCAATAGTCCTAGCATAATAGGTCATAGTTTCTATTATGAAGGGGCTGTTATGTCGGCATTTTTTCTTCTACTTTTTTTAGTAGGTTGCACACCCAGCCCCTTCGTGATGACTGGGGTTTTCTTCCAGGTCTTTTCAAGCACGTGGTATCTGCTTTAAGTCTTCTCAGGATGATAATATGATAACTAGTCTTTGACCAATAACTGGCATCTTTCTGCATATCACTGATGGATCCTTGGGCACAATAAATTCATAATTTTCTTGTCTTGCAGCTAACCATTTTTCCAAAATTAAGTTGTGTTTGAGTGATTTTTTGGTGACTACTTGATACGATTTGTTTTGCTGATTTATTAGAGTTTTTGTGTTAAAATATATAGTTCATACCAAATTTAAGGTTCTCATTGCATTTTAGGACGTCTTTGGTGGTGTCAATACTAAATCAACATCCCCATTACTTGTTTTTATTCCTCAGGTTATTGCAAGTTGCTGTTCCCTTTTCTTTTCTTTGTTATGTGTCAAAAGAGGGGAGCTTGAGGTTGATCCAAGAACACCGAAAGCAAAAGCTTCATAAGGAAAAAGCTAAGTGGAATGAAGAAATACTTACATGATGTTTCTATATTTGAACTGTACTGAGTCATGCATGGTTGAATTATTCTTACATGACAAATCCATTATACAGGACCAGTCCCTTCGTTCCCTTGATTGGCCACTGTCTGTATACCAATGATAACAACACTAATATGGGGGCCATCCCACTTGCAGAGCACTAAACATTGGACAACATCACTAGCGGAGGTCAATGGTATCTCTCTCCTTTGAATCTTAATGGGCCATGATAATCACATGACACCGTTATCGTTCATTCACACAGTTAATGCACATATCTCTGCATATAGTTCTCTTGCAAGTTGTGTTGGGTATGTCATCACATAAGCCTGGGGTCATTCTCTTCACAGGTTGATCCATTGCCTTTCTCTTGGTACCTAAATTGGTAAAAGCCTTTGTTCACATCTTGGATTAGCCGCAGACACTAATATGATACATATTTGAGCCTTAATACTGTTAATGTCTTGAATTTTGCTTGGTTGTAATTGGTTTAGTTACTGATTAGGGTACTTGAATAGACCAAGGAAATAAATCTGTAATCATTTGCCATCAAGCCTGTCCTAGCACGAGGCGTCTTTTCCAAGGGGAAAAAGGTATAAAGCATTTAAGTCGTGGAGAAATGGGTGCTGTGGACAAAATAAGAAAGTTCAAGGGTGAAATGAAGTCAACCACTACAATGCATGATCTCCTGTTAGTTCGATTGCGTGATTTGGTTACATGAAGTCACTTGCCTTAGGTTTGCCGGTATAATCATGTTTGCACGGCCCTATCAAGTGATTTCCCTGAACGGATCCCCATCCATTGTGGCATCGTATCAGGAGGCACTTTTCAGCAGTGGCTAGGCGTAGAAACTAAAATTTAACAAGATGGATGATTATATACCCCTCATGTTATTGGAAAACAACTCAACTAGGACTAGTTGATCTTGGTTAGATCTTCTCCGTCTCAACTTTTTACGCATCCTGTGGTAGCTATTTACTCTCATAATTTGCTCCATTTTTCCCCCCTGTTTGTGCTTCCCATGAGAGCCACCTTGAATGTATGGAATATGCCTAGCATGTGCTTTTGACAACACATTTGTCCTACAAGCATCAATGATTAGGGGTTGTAAGCAAAAGTGGTGTGAAAAGAAATTGGAGGGTATCTCGTCATATCTTTCTAGTGTTTAGCTGGAAAAATAAAGGCATTGGAAAGTAAACATACACAGGACGATAGTTTTAAAAGTGCATTGATGTAGCTTCTGCTTTTGGTGAGACGAGGGGGCAAACATACAAATATCAACAATTATCATAGCCAGTGTTGGGTGAAGAAGGTAGAAGTCTCTGAAATGAACCTTAGGTGAGATGAGGAAGGGGCACCCACTGAGTGCTTTTGATATTGTTAGGTTTATCCTCTGGAGATCAGCAAGGAGAAATATCAAGCCAGTAGATACAAAGTATAGGGTAATCTTATAGTAACTTTAAAGAAATCTTAGCTAGTGATTATATGCGAAGGCAACGATGGCCCTTCTCTCTTATAAACTTCACTCAACAAGAAGTTATACTTCCACAAATCTGATAGCTTTTCTATGTAATTGAATCCTTAAGAAAATCTTAGTTAATTTGATACTGAAATTTGAGTCGAGAGTATGTACAAGCGGGAGAGCAAAAGATAGTTGCCTCTGTTTGCGTAATCCAATCATTGGACAAGCAGGATTCTTATATTTAAATTCCCTTTGAAATCTCTCTCTTGCATGTACTCATAAAACTCTCTGGGTTTGACTGCTTTGATGAACCTTGTCCTCTTCCACTACTTCTCTGCAACTGAACATGTTCTTGCTACTCTGACGAAATTTGTTACTCCTAGCTTGTTTCTTGTCAACTCACTTCTGGTTCTTCTTCAACATGTTCAAATCACAATAGAAACCAACATTTTAGAGGATTCTAATAGCATTTCCCCAGACTGGCAATAAATTACAATACTTAGATTTTGAATAAAGATAGAAAATTAATGCTCTTTCTGTCTCTCTTTAGCTTCTCACCGTGGAAGCCACAGTGGAGAGTGGAGCATCAAAAACAGCTTGCATTGATGTGCAGATAAAAAAAAATGAGAGAGAGAGAGAGAGAGAGAGAAGGTGGGCTAGTATAGTACTACTGGGCTGCCATCCATCTGTTCAAACCCACCCACTCACCACCCACCCCCATACCCTCCCATTATTATGATAATGAGCAGCTATGAAAAATCTTCAGGCAGAATCTCAACAGTGCCCAAATAGATTCCCCCCCGATATATCAATCGGGAACCACCCCACAATTTTAATTTTTTTCCCCTTTGGCGTTTCTGATGTCAGCATTGGCCCTTTTGTTGCTTTTGGGCCCTACCTCCCATCCCCCCCTCCTATCTCTAGCAGTAGTCTTTGTGCAGAGTATATTTTTCCCTCTCCACTCCACTCCACTCCGAATCCAGAAATCCCTAATATCCTCCAATTTGCCCCCTCCCCCGTCTACCTGGCTTGAAATGTGCACCTGAAATAGAGGGATATTTCTTCTTTTCTTTAATAAAGAAAATGCAAAATATACTATATGCTTTTTCATAGTTATATTTTTTGACCTTTCTAGTTCCACCTTCCAAGTGGGGGTGGGGGTTTCCAATTACGTCAAATCCAGGGATGTCACATCCACAGATCTTATCCTCGGCGATTTCTCATCCGGTGGACATCTCCGGGGAAAGGGATATCCTGTCACAACACCACCCGTTTTTTGCAAAATATGTAAAAACACAACCACTTCAATGTATTTATATACACTAAGAATGCAAAAATGGAGCGATTTCTCATAATCCTTGGTGCCTAACTTTACTAACCTAGTTGACGTTCAATTATTTAAAACCATTGCTTCTATGATTAATGCTTATTTGGTGTGCAAAAGGCTTTTTGTCTCTGTGGTTGAAATATATTTTCTTATTTTGTTTTTTAAAATTAATTTTTTAAATATTTTTAGATTATTTTAATTAATATGCTAACATCAAAAATAATTTTTAAAAAATAAAAAAATATTATTTTCACATATTTTCAAGTAAAATTCATTTTAAAAAACAATAACTAGTAAATTTTCAAACACTATATAATAATGTTATCTAGAATGGACTTTGGTGTAACAACCCATGAGATCGATCATTCAAAGTGATAGTGTTTCAAGCTTGAAAAGGGATCTCTATCTTTTCTTGGTGGGTGTCGAAGGAAAATAATGGATTTCATCTTTTCAAGCAAGAGAAGAGACCAATTCCAAGACGAACTGTCATTAATTTAGCTTGGTCGGCATGCTTTTTCGTTCCTTGATTCAACTCTGTCTAGAAAAAAACACACACACGATGTCCTTGATGCTGCATGTTAGGGACCCATTATTTTTTTCTAGATACAGCATTAATTAATTCATTGATTTTCAATCGAAAAATTAATGTTGTGGGCAGCAATAGTTGGATTAATATTCAAAATTAATGATATTTGAAATCTTGGATGATTAAAAATAATAATAATAATTACTTTCTTTCCAATGCTATTTATTTAGTGCTGATTAATGGCCATCCGTAAACAAATTCTCCTGAGCAACCATATCAGTCATCATTCAATTAAAACTAGGCTAATGCAATTTGGACACGTGTCAGGGTCGATCTACTTGGCATCACTAATCCTGCAGCCCTTTTTGTTATATAATAATAACAATACTAATCTGTCTCGTGATAAGAAACCGCAAGAAATGAAATTAACTAGTAAGAAAATAACACCAGTCACATCTTAATCTTCCATTCCAAGTAAATCATAAGGTCATATGGCTTACCATTTGACCATGAGTACTGTTTGAAGAATAAGAAGATTGAGAGTAGAATTGAGGGGGGCCTGGACCCTGCAGGCTGGACACAGTTGAACCATCAGGTGTTGATGGCTCGGACCCATCAAGCTGGCACTCCAAGTTCACCCCAAATAACCTCAGTCTCTTTGAGTTCCCAAGCGGTGTTGTTTGGTTCTGTGCCATGGACCCTGCAACATTAAATGATGCAGCACCATATAGCAATCTGGTTCAGCAAAAAACAGTAATATTCCTTTCCACACACCCACAGAGGGAGGAAAAATAATACTAATAATAATAATAATAATAATAATAATAATAATAATAATAATAATAATAATAATAATAATAATAATAATAATAATAATAATAATAATAATAATAATAGTAGGAAAAAAAAAAGGATGGTGATCGGTGAAATTAATAATATTTTCTTTTTTCTTGGTGCCAATGTCCATGCGTAAACAAATTCTCCTCCTTTCCTTTTTTGGTTGCTTTTATTGAATGTCTGAAATGCTTGTTTCCCAGAAGCAATGCCCTGAGTAGCAAAAGACCTCTGGTGCTAGCTAGATAGCTAACTTATGAGAAGACAGTAAAATGAGTTTCATCATGAGGAGATGGAATCTTCTTTTGTCTTCCAAAAACAAAATACTAACAGGTTTTTAAAATTGTTGTACGCGCATCACATTATATATGCAGACACCAGAGAAATCAGCACTAAATAATATATATGACCGATCAGAATCCATCCACATTTCTCCAAACTAATTGGAAGGTGTTTGTCACGCACTTTACACACAGGAAAATACAAGAAAGTTCCTGGAAAATCACCCATTGCAGTACCTGCATGCTTGTCTTCATAAAATGATGAAAGAAGAAACAAAATTAAAATGTAAAGAAGAGTAAAATATACCTGCATGGAGACAGTAAGGTTGGTATGGCACATTAGCGGCTGTCACATGTTGTATATTACTACTAGAAAGATGATGAGGCCCAGAAGATGATGATGGATATATTCCTCTGCTCCACACCCCACCACCACTACCCTGCACCATCACCCCACTGTTACTGCCACTCTCACCTCTCCTCCTCCACCCTATGAACAATCTGTCACCATCCGTTCGGTGTCGTTCAAACAAAACGGCATCACCTGCATCGAGTTGTTTCTCTTTCACATACCTACTCCACCCTTTAGTCAATACATAGCTTTGACTACTGTTCCAATATGAGTACCTAAACCTCCAATATTTGCCCGACTCATCTTCGAAACTCAGTAACAACCCTTTATCCACTGAGTCACCACTAAGTGGAAAGTACTTCTCCGCGTGTTGTTTTGGTATTACTAGACGGTTTAGCTTTCCTACATCACTTGGTGTTAAGGGTTTCTCAAACATTGGTTCTTTATCTAGTACTAGTACTTCTTGTTGTTGTTCATGTTGTGTTTCATCTTGCTGCTGCTGTTCATGGTATTGATCTTCATCGTCTTCTTCGTTGAGATTGAAATTAAGCGTTGGGTTTTGAGGAAGGAACATGGAGGAGGGTTGTTGAGCTGGATTGTAAGGGTTAAGCCAGGAGTGATGGGGAGGCCAAGAAGAATTTGGGTTTGAAATATTTGGGGGTTTGTTTGGTGTAGAGGAAGACGCGTTTGGGTTTGGTTCCATGATAGGTTGGTGTTGTTGATGTTGCTGTGCCCACCAGCAGAGTGTTTCTTGAAGGTCTGTGGAGAAATGGTTTATAGACATTTGAGAAAGAGAATTTTAGTGTTTTAAAACGCAGAGAGAGAGAGAGAGAGAGAGAGAGAGAGAGGTGTAGTACTATTGCGAAAGTAGAGGCGTGATGATTATGGGATTGATGTGGGAGCTATTTGCTGTAGCTATTAGAGATATGACAATCACTGATAGAGGGAGAGGGAGAGGGAGACGGAGAGGGGGGTAGGCCTTGTTATAAGTACGATAGTACTAATACTTTAAGGTTTTGCGTGATGAGCCAAAAAAATATAAAAAAATCAATCATTATTTTCAGTGTAATTTGATATACTGCTACCCTGGCTAGGCATGTCTTCTGTTTTACAGCCTTTTCTTTTTTCTCTCTGTTATTGATTTTGTTTCTTTTGTGTGTGTTGTTGAAAAATTAGGCAGAAGAAGATGTATCCATCTTGATAGATATAAAAACTACTGAGAAGAGATTGTAGCAGCAGCAGCTGCTGCTGCTACACACACAGAGGGTGAATAAATAAATCTTTTTGCGTGTCATTAGAAACAACCCATGTTACTCTATTGGCAAACAAATCCTGGTGGGACCAAAATTACGCCTTCATATAGTCTGTGTTCGTCCTCTCATCCAACGGCCTGTCTAGCACTTGCTTTCTGCAAATCTTCGCTGATGGCACATGGGATAATTACCTTCCTTTCAGTAACTTCTACAGCAAGAATATCTATCTAGCCATAATTTTAAGAAGTATCTTGTTTGCAAGTCTTTGGATCTTGTTACATGACTAGGTAGGTTAAGGTTGCTTTATATACCTTATATACCCTGATCTCTAATGCTAAATGCATGGCAAGAGAAGAATCAAGTTCATGCATGCTTGTTAGGGGAGCTGATATTTGCGCTCCACTAGTGGTTAATTAGCCACACTTCCTTCCGGATGCCAACTCTTTTTCTTAACAAATGACTGTTATCTCTCTAAAAAAGCATGGAGGGGCCAAAAAAAGATGCATTCAATCACAAA